AGAGGGAAATTCCACACCGCCAGGTCACGGGAGGAGCATCACAAAAATAAGTAAGCACAAATCCACTAGGTTTTGAGGGGCTGGGGACTGGGTTTACGACAGTGGGGGCCGGCTAGGGTTTGACCCTCACCCCACCACTGTCTCTGCTGGAGGCGGGATTTGGGGCTGGCACATGGGCTTTATCTCAACACAGCCACAGCTTGCTGCCGCCTCGAGGCAGGGATTAAACCCCTCCAGCCCCACCGTCAGGGAACGGGGCTCAGCAATATTGTTACTTTTGTTTCCCTCTCTTTTCTCTATTACCCCCCACAGTCTCAGCAGGCTTAGTTCTTTCTTTTTCTTTTATTTCTTTGTCTCTTTCCTTTTCTCTCATATGCCACTGCTGACCTCCAGACCACTCCCCTTAGCCTAGGACATTTATATCTGCCCTCCACCCAGCTGGGAGAGCTCCATCCTCTGCAATGTAACTTGAGGCCGGGGAAAGCCTGCCCACCCTCTACCAAAGGATATCCTGCCCAACTTCTTCCTGGGGAAATTCCGCCAATACACTGCAGTGCTTAACCCTTGGCTGAGGAAATCCCACCCACCTTCCTCAGGGGAAATCCTGCCTGCGTGGCTGGGGGAACTCCTATCCATCCTCTGTGGTCCCACATGACTGAAGGAACTTCCTCCCACCTGCCAAAGTGCCTCACACAGCCTAAGGCAGTCCAACTAACACTTGCCAATGTTCCATGCTTCTGCGGGAACCTCTGCCCAACCCCGGCAGCGATCTACCTGACCGGGAAATTCTGTCCACCATTCGCAGTGTTCTACACCAAAACGGGAAACCCACCAGCCTTCTGTGGTGTTCCCATTGCAGCAGGCACCCCTGCATGTCCTCTGCGGAGCCCCAAGCTGCAGTGGGCCACACGGCTTCTTGTGAGATCACCCAGTACAGCACCATCCTCGTGGGTCCACAACAATCTAACCAGTGTCCCTGGGAGGACCACTCACCTTGCCCTCCAAATAACAGAATACTGATTAACTAGGGAAAGAGTAAAGCCACAGGAGAATAAAGTGGTAGGCCAATTCCATAGTGAAATTAGCTGCAGGAAGTTCAAAGAAGTATTCCTACAAGTCTCTCAGAGAGTCAGTGCTCTTCAACTCCCTGGAAAATGGCAACTGGCTCCTCTAAAACAACGCAACGTAAACAGCAACCAGCCTCAATGACCTAAATGAAAAAACCAGAGAAACAAAAGGCAATGGCAGAAGATGTCCTGAGCCTAATGTGCATAGAAGAAGCAGACATTGAGCTGCCACAGAAAGAAATTTTCAGAACTCTGTTTAGAGTCATACAGGATATGAGGGAAACAATACAGAAAAAAGGATGAAATCATAGAAGAGATAAAGGCCATACACCAAAGGAAAATACAAGAACTGAGGGACAAGATAACAAAAACCAGTAGCAGACTCACTGACTTTGCCAATTGACTGGAGGAGGCAGAGAACCGCACCAGTGACCTGGAGGACAGCCAAGCAGACTTTTTAACAAACGGGACAAAAATCTAATAAGATCATCAGAGAAGCTGAAGAAAACCTAAGAGCTATGTCTGATGTTATGAAGAGGAACAACATCAGAATAATTGAATTACCGGAGGAAGACACAACAAAGAAGTCATCTGCAAAAATAGAGAGAGAATTCTTGGAGGGAAACTTCCCAGATTAATGAATGAAAACCAGGCAACCATGCAGGAGGCTGAAAGAACACCAGCTAGACTGAATCCCAAGTCACTAAGGCACATAATAGTTAAACTATCCAACTTTGAGGAAAAGGAGAAAATCATGAGAGCAGCTAGGAAAAACAAACAATCCCTATAAAGATTCCCAAATAAGAAAAAGTTGGTCTCGGAAACCCACAGGACCAGTTCGATTCTGCCCTATAGGGTCACTATGAGTCAGAATCGACTTGAGGGCAGGGAGTTTTGGGTTGGTGCCATCACCATAACATACAATAATATTTTATCTCCCAAAACTCATGGTCAGGCTGACAGACTACCCACCAAAAGGTAGCCTGTTCTTTCCCTCTTAACATTTCTCCTAAAACTGTGAACACAAAAAAATCAACAGGACTGTAAGAGCATATTCATTTGCTGGACCAAGTTCTTTAAATGGTTTGGCATCCCTCTAGGGCACTGGTTCTCAGCCTTCTTCATGCTGCGACCTTGAATGCAGCTCCTCGTGTTGTGGTGACCACCCCCAACCATAAAATTATTTTCGTTGCTGCTTCATAACTGCAATTTTGCTACTGTTATGAATCAGACAACCTCTGTGAAAGGGTCATTCGACCCCCAAAGGGGTTGCAACCCACAGGTTAGAACCGCTGCTCTATGGTTTTATATTGGGGCTGAAGTATCTAGACTACATAGTTGTGGA